TTCTGGGCCTGATCCCGGGTTCTGGTCGGGTTCTGGGCCTGATCCCGGGTTCTGGGTCTGATCCCGGGTTCTGGTCGGGTTCTGGGCCTGATCCCGGGTTCTGGGCCTGATCCCGGGTTCTGGGTCTGATCCCGGGTTCTGGTCGGGTTCTGTACCTGGCAGTAGCCGATGTTGGGGTTGCGGTGGGCGTAGGCCGTCAGGACGCGGCGCAGCGCGGCGATGCCCGTCTCGTTCTGGAAGGCTCGGTGTTCAGGCATCGAGCGATGAAGGTCGCGCTCGATCTCCTCGGTAGCCAATGAGCAGAGGCCCATGGCCTGCTCCACCAGGTCGCCATAGTAACCAGGGTGGGACGCCATCTCGTTCTGAGCGCCTGCACAGACGGGTGGAGACGGGTAAACGGAGACAGGCACAGGAAGCGGAGACAGGAAGCGGAACGGAGACGGACCGGAGAACAGCAGCCACAGCTCCCCCCTCAGGCGCTCCGGGATCCCGTTCAGAACCAGCTCTCGGGTTCTGGAGGTTCTGTACATGCAGACGCCCCGGCCGAACTCGGAGAAGTGAATGTTCCACGCCTCCTCCTTCATCCGCTCCTTCATCTGCGGGACGGAGGATGGGTCAGCGTCTCCCGGCGCTCCGCCCGCCCGCCCCGGGAATCGTACTCACAGCTTTCGGGCCGAGGTCCTCCGGGCCGTCCTGCTGGTACAGCCGCAGCAGGCCCTGCTGGGCGGTGGGCAGGCCGCCGTGGTAATGGCGCCCCTTGTGGACAGAATCCACGCTGGTGGAGCCCTGGGGACAGAAAGTCATGAGACAGAACCAGAACCACAAGGTTCTGACAGCCGGGCCTGGCGTACCGAGGAGCCAATCAGAGACAGCGGGTTGGTGTCGCTCCACGAGCCGTCCGGCGTCCGCTGCAGGAAGTCTGAGATCCGCTGAACCAGGAAGTCCCTGTCTTTGAGGTTGGCGAACAGGAAGTTCATCTTGTTCTTGGTGCTGATGGAGACGGGACACGGCAAGACGCTGCTGCTGTCTGCCTTCTCCACGATGGTCACCTGAGGAGCAGAGGATCATGGGTAAATTACGGGACAATCATCTCCAAAAGCAATGAAGCAGCCAGATGCAGACAAAGATGGCGGAACACGTGAGACCAACAGTTATCCAGATGAAGGTTTGCTTTTTTCCAAAAACACTTTAGTCTTTTTCAAAATGGCCGCCATTTGAAACTAAAGTAGCGTTCGCCAGGCACGTGCAAAGGAGGGGGCTGAGGGGGTTTGAGCACCTGCCCCTTTTTGCTCCGTGCCCCCAAGTGCCCTTTTGGTCCATTTTTATTTATTTATTTGGTATTATTATTTCCTAAGCCCTCTTCTGACACATAATAACATGTACTAAAATTATTAGTTTTTTGTTGTTGGTTTTTTTATACAACATAATAAGCCCCCCGGTCACCTTGTTACCTTTGACCTTTTGCCCGTGACCAGTTGCCTCTCCACAGTGAGATAAGGCGGCTAACTGGAGCTGAACATAGCGAACGATCAGATTACAGATCAGTTTTTGGTGAATTATATATATTAAAAAAAACATTTTTGGTGAATAAAGTGGAGCAGACCTGCTGCTTGTCAGATGACGGAAAATGTTGAAGTCTCGTTTCTGCTTCAGCGGTTTAAGCAGAGAGGTAATGAAATACAACAGACACTGACAGGCCTCTGCGTCTTTCTTTGTCTGAAGAACAACTGAGCGGCAGGAGACAGCCAGGTGAGGAAAAACTGTTCTTATCTATCGGTTCAGTATTTTTATCATACAGACATTAGGCTCTTGTTGATGTGCTATTAGCTAGCTGCTAGCTAACGACTTTGCTAGCAAAGCTAGATAACTAAAAGCTTCTTCCCTGTATCGTCAATGATATCAGTCATTCTTCAGTATTGATTATGCAATAGGGG